ATGGCAAATTCAGTCACCACACTTGAGTAAGAGCAGGGACTAAACTCTTGGAGGGGAAGACAGGGTACAAAGACCTCATCAAGCCAGTCCAGCCAGTCACTAAATAAATAGACAAAAAATATTAACATGTGGATGATGAAAAAGCATACCTAGAATTGCTGTTATTATCTAAAATGATTAATTTTCAATAAAAATTACCATATATGCAAAGAAACTAGGACATAAGACCTAATCAAAAGGCAAAGATTGTAAGATTGGATGAAGAGACAGTACCCAGCTATATGCAGTCAGGGAAAGCACATTTTAGATTCAAAGATGTAAACAAGTTGAAAATAAAAGGAGAGGAAAGAATATCATGCAACTATCAATCATAAAACATTGTAGTAGATATGTTATCAGGCAAAATTGACTTTAAAACAAAATGTATTATGAGAGAGAAGGATGGATATATTATAAGAATAAAAGGGTCAATTTTCCAGAAATATTAAAACAGTTCAGAGCATATAGGAACCTAATATCACATAGCAAAACTGGCAGAAATGAAGGAAGAAACAGAATTCAACATTATACTTGGGTTTCAATAATCTGCTTTCAACAGTGCATAAAATAGGGAAGCCAAAAACTACAGGAGCAGAAAACAAAATGTGAATAATGAATGTAACTGTACTGTATATCTAAAATGTACCGATAAACTCAATGAGAAAAAAAATGTTTTTTAGTAATCCTAAAAAGAGACCCAAAAGACATACAGAGAACACTCTTCCCAGCAACAGCAGAATGTATGTTCTCTTTGAGGACACATAAGCATTCAACAAGACAGACCTTATGCCAAGAAGTAAAACAGTCCTCAATAAAGGTAAAATGATAGAAATAATGCCGAAAGTATGAACAGCGGAACAATGGAATCATACCAGAAACTTGAAATATTAAAAATACACTCGTATAATTGTTATGATTTGAATTATGTCTGCAGTCCTAACTTTCATGTTCTCAGGTTGTGGTTTATGCAGACATAGGATTGTTGAGGAGGTACTAATTAAGCTGAGGATTGGGAAAGGGAAGTTCCTTAATCCAATGACTAGTGTCCTCGTAAGAATGTTAAAGAGAGACAAAGAAAGAACTCCATGTGAACATACAGATAACAGTGAGAGGACGAGCGTGTGATGACGGAGCCCCCTCAGGAGTCAGCCTCTCTGGTAACTGGATGTCAGACCTCTGGTCTCCAGAACAAGGACAGAACAAATTTCTATTGTTCTAAACCACTCATTTAGCAGTACTTTATTACAGTAGTCTGAAGATATGAATACAGTTATGAATAGGTGAAAGAAGAAAGAAAACATGAAATGTACAAATCTTTTGATATGTATGAAATGATATACCAAAGCTAATTAGAGGCAGAAAAATATAACTACCCCAAAATACATAACTTTATTTATACTATTTCCAGTTATAGGTGGGGAAATTAAATTTACAAGTGATAAAAAGCATAATACAGCCCACATAATTTTATCAAAAGGGCTGTGGGATAGCTATAAACTACTACAAAATTTTGTTCATGACTATAAAGTCATACCATGTTTTTAGATAAGTAATATATTTTCCTTTTCAAGTAAAAAAATAAAAGTAATATAACTGCAATTTAAAAAAACCAATGTGAATATTATTGATTGAAAATTCTGAAGCAGAGTATCGTTTTAAATATTCATGCTAAGGGAAGCAAAGGGTCATGATATCCACTAATTTACTTCAAAATGGACCAACAGCCCAAAATGATAGAATATATGGTAAAATGTTAATGACTCTTGAATCTAGGTAGTATAAACATACATTTGATTATTTCTACTTTCAGATAAGTTTGAAATTTTTATATGAAAACTTAAAAGATTTATTTACTAAGTGACAATTTAATGAATTTAGGGAAATTAAGTGGAAGACAAGGTTTACTTTATAAGACACGTAAAATAAATTTTAATACTGTTACAATAATCAAAAGTGTATACTTGTAGTTAAAGATTAGATAATTACCAACAAATTTATTATTAAGTCCAAAGAATTATGTACTTACATACATAAAAATGTAATGAATTCAATTAAGTGGAAAATTGATTATTCACTAAATGGTATGGATTCAACCCATCAGGAAGAAAGGCACATAAAAACATAGTTCTAGGGCCAGGGATTTAGCTCAGGGGTTCGGTGGCCTGCCTTTCAAGCACAAGGACGCGAGTTCAATCCCCAGTACAAAAAACAAAACAAAACAAAACAAAAAACATAATTCTATAAAACTTGAGATCTAAACAAATATTCAAATTGTAAAAACACACAAAGAAAATTTTATTGACTATATGACTATCAGATTTAATTAAAACAAATGATGACAGATTTGGCTTCATGAAACTAAGTTTCTACCGAAGAGAAAAACCAGTGCTGTGGGTGTAGCTCAGAGGCAGAGCATTTGCCCAGCATGTCTGAAGGCTCAGAATTTGGTGTAGCAATAAAAGAGAGGAGAAAATCTACATAATACTTTTGAGAGTAACCTTAAGAAAACACATGCAATACATAACAGATAATTTTAATATCCTTAACAAAAATAAAGAATGTAAAATTATTTATTAAAAAACAAGTAATCCAGGGCCAGGGATTTAGCTCAGTGGTTCCACCACCTGCCTCACAAGCACAAGAACCTGAGTTCAATCCCTGGGACAATAAATCAATAAATAAATAATACAAAATTATAAGCAAATATTACAAGCACAGAAGTGGGAATGATAAGAGCAACATGAAAACATGTTCAACACAGTAAATAGTCAGAAAATTAATGAGAAATATTTTCATCCTTAGGAGGGCTGCAAATTTTGAAAATCTTTTTAAAATATTTAATATGTGCATACATCGCTGGCAATATACACTATATATTTTTTGAGATATCAGTAGTGAAGACTTCTTAGACAAGAAGCACTACTTCTAAAGCAAAATTCTAGAAGTGTTGATCATCAAAGAAAAAAGTTTAGGAAACTTTATACTGTATCACTTCACATTACATAACATTATTCAACTCTCTAAAAAGGAGTGTATCTGGTATAACCACATTCATGATTTAAAAATGAAAAGAGAGGAGGAAAGTATATGGGTTTGTATTAACTGTATGTACTGTGCATCCGCACATCTTGAAAAAAATATAGGAAATTCATGATATATTTCAACAAATAAATGGATATTTTTAGAATATAGAAATAAGTATTATTCTTTTTCCTATATATATCTCTACACTGAATTGTTAAGCATTAATTTTAAAATCATGAGGAACAAAAATCACTTAATCTTACATAATATACTGTATGTATAATTAGCACACAGAATTAACACTCAAATATATATGTATTAAGCACCTTAAATAATATTTATAATTAGATGTTTAAATTTTCTATTCTTTAATTATAATTACTATAATCATTTAGCTAAAAAGAATATATTCAACAATGAAAAAGGAAACACATGGGTTTTGGGAAGCCGAAGAATACTTCATGAAGGCTTTCTCTTATCTTACAATTGCCATTAAAAAAAGAGACCTGTGAGGGCCGGGGATTTAGCTCAGTGGTCCCACCGCCTGCCTTGCAAGCACAAGGGTCTGAGTTTGACCCCAGGTACCAAAAGAAAAAAAAAAAAAAGATAGAGAGAGAACTCTGAGCAAATGCCTGTCTATTCGGATATTAGTACAACCTGTTGGAGATAAGAATATTGCAGACCATGCTGCTCTCCTAGATTTCAGGCAGAGGAAGATGAGTTAGAACACCCTAATCACTGATCCCCGACCCCTCTGTTGGTCCTAGGAGAGGCCCTTCTATATGTGAACACCTGATAGCTTGTATGGGTTTTCTTAAAGATGTCCCCAATACTGTGTGAGATTCTGGCTTCACAAAATCTGGATATGTCCATATTTGAAGGTTAAACTCAATCACAACTGCGGGGTAATCTAAGAAGTAACTATCATTATACAAACTATATTTATTCTCAATGAGGTAAATTTCATAAGATATCAGTTTCCACTTGTAAAACTAGTACTTTGTGTTTGCATGCCATTTCCAAGAACCTGATAACAGACTCCCCACTAGAGGTTTAGTATTTAATGGATCATAGAGGAGATACTCAAAGCACTTGAACAACAAGAGACTGGCACAGAATAGTAAATGAGTGTTCAGAAATGTAAAGATAAGGAGAGCATCACTTACTATGCACCAGTCTGTCATGGAAAAAGTACAGGAGTGCTGCAGCAGAGAATGCTGGTGCCTAACCATCTAAGAACTGTCAAGGGGAGGGATAGGTTGGCAGTGGATTTAAATCTGACCCAAAAATGGGAGAGCAGGATCATCATGAACACACTTGGTATAGTTCTGAATCCATGAGGCAGGACACTCTTGGTTGGGCAAAAAAGGCATCAGACTAATTTAGCCTGATGCCATTAGAATTCACCCAATTCTCTTTGTTCTGACTCAATGTTCTTGGATAAGCTCTTGGTTACTACTTGTCTTTCTAAGTGATTCTGACCCTACAAAGGCCAATATTCTGATCCTTGTGATGCAATATATTTCTGTAGATCAACAAAATGGAATTTCAGTTTTATACATCAATCACATTAGCTTGGAGAATAGGATTTGGATTCAGAAAAGTGAATCCACTTTCATGTACTTTAGGGTTTGAGGCTGATGGCCAAATCCCAGACTGAAAAATTAAGGGAGGAACTCTTAGTTTAATGGTACCTGTTCCCATGTGACTTCTTTATATTCTGATTAGCATTTTAATTATCTGCCCAGTATACTGTCAGAAATTTTGCTAAAAAATGAAATGATCAAAGTAAAGATTTTTAAAAACACATAAAATAGAAAAGCATTATTTTTCTTCTATCAAATACAAATTCATGCCAAGTTACATTTTTTAAAAAATATCCATTTATTCCATATAACAAATTAGTGGACTTCTAAAATTTGTAAAGCTATTTTTACCTATGTGCCTGATTATGAAGGTTTAGCGATCTGGTCTGGTACATCTCTTCCAACTGTTTCCTGTTGCCAAAGTACAAAGCAAGATCCGTGGCGATGATGGCTTTGCGGATGATCTCCAGCACCTGCTCATACTCACTGGAGCTCAGGGCGGAGAAGATGTTGTGCCCTTCCAGCTATGGAAAAATACAGAGAGAGCCACCAGTAGCAAGCTTCAAGCTCGGATCTCATGCAATTTTCAGTTATTTGATGCACTATAGTCAGTAATGCCTCTTGGCCCATTAATGACTAGTTTGGGGAGTTAACAGGAAAGCTGAAATGATTGTAGTGCAAATAATACTTTGGTTTGTCTTTAAACTACATCAAAAATGAATCACTTACTTAAACTATTTTAACAAAGGGAATATCATTTGCTACTGCGAAACCCCAGTGACTTAAATACAATTAGTTCTTTAAATATTTGTTGTAGCTACATGGCTGAAAAATATAAAATATGTACGTTACAGACTTTGTCTGAGACAATTCAAAACTTTAATATTTTGTATATTATATTGGAAGTGGGATTAGAAAGACAAACTGACAACTCCTTGGAAATTTCAGATTGTATCACAAACAACAATCTACTTTTCTGTTTCATAGAGAAAAATATCTTACAATCTCAACTTATTAATTCAGATACATTAAAATGCTTTTTGTAGACAACAGCATATTTATATACATAAAACCATAGATTTACCTATACATATATCACTGAAGGTGTAACAACTTGGGGCCTCTTGTCTTTATTCTCTGGGCAGGCTAGAAATTCCAGAGTATCACTTTGATTAAAAACAAAATATCGGTAGTTTGTATACTATTGTCTCTAAATGATTCTACCTATAAAACAACTTAACTTTTTCCTTCTTGCAATACGTGGGATTCTGTCCATGGCTTTTACACTAAGCAACAACCCATCCTTTTCAAAAAATTTGTTGGAGACAGGGTCTTGCTCAAACTTGGTATCCTTCTGCCTCACCCACTTAAGTAGCTGGGATTATAGGTGTGTACCACTGTGCCTGGCTTTTAAAAAACTTTTTACAATAAGTTCTTCTGAGAATTTTAAGGGTGTTTTTGGTAGAAGATTTTGTTCCAACTAAAAAAGCTGAGATAATTAAAGTACACTCAATTTGGGGGCTCATCAATTTTTAAAAACTGATTTAATTATTAGCTCACAAAGCCACTGTTTCGCTTTTGGGATGAAGATACACATGTACCTCTTGCTTGTTGTCAGAATTTTTAAATTTATTCTTCAACTATTCCAAATGTTGAAAATGGTCCTATGATAATTTTCCTAACAATACATAAAGTAAGATTTTATACATGTGGGATGTTCTACAGCTTGCAGAATACTTTCATATTAATCCTGATTTCACTTTCAGTTTATAAAATCACCTCCCTCCTTCCTTCCTTCCCTCCCATCCTTCTTATCTTCCTCCCTCCTTCCCTCCCTTCCTCCATCCTTCTCTCCCTTTCTTCCTTTCTTTCTTTTTTTGATACTAGGAACTGAACCCTGGTCCTTTTTATTCATTTTTTAATTTTGAAATACATTATCCTCGAACTGTGAACTTGAGAAACTGAACCTGCCTCAGCCTTCAGAGTAGCTGGGACTACAAGTATGTACCACAGTCTAGCACTTTATTATTCTTCAATATCAAAGAAAACTAGTTGAAAAAGTTCAATAATAGGTCTTTGTAATGAAAAGTTGTTACCAGAAACCTTTTACTGCCTCCTTCAATGTTTTTTTAAGAGCAAAGGGACAAATAAATAATAATGCCCTTTCTCTTTAAGAGAATCCAGAATTTTGCTTTTGCCAAAAAATGAAAGCAAGGAAGAGAGATAAAAGCAACCAAATATATCAGACAGATAAACTTCTTATAAGTCTCTTTAAAAACTGACAGCTTCACATTAGTTAATATACAATAAAATCTTTTAAATAATATACTATTTTTATATACCAGTTGACAAATCTATTGTCCTTAATGCCAGGTCACACGTTTAATGGTAATTCAAGTTAATTAATCTTATTTCACATAAATCAAAAATGAAGTAGCAGACTATCCAATAATATTTCAAAAGATCCAAATAAGTAGAATATAATTCTCTTCTCCACGACAGCACAGGAGTAGGCTGTTTGTAAATGTTCCAAGTATCTGAGAACCAAGAGAAGATAAAGGTATAAAGAAGCTGACATTGGCTCTGATGCTGAGAGGTTAATCAGGGACTCACTTGAACAGAGGATCCTGAAGGCCACTTCCAGCCCTCAGCCAGGGAAATTCTAAGGCTTCTTAATATTCTAGTCATGAGAAAGGAACCCTTCTCCATTGTTGGTGGGAGTGCAGACTGGTGCAACCGCTATGGAAATCAACACAGAGATACCTCAAAGAGCTGGGACTAGAGGTTCCATTTGACCCAGCCATCCCTCTGCTGGGTATCTTTCCAAAAGAATTAAAAGAATCTACCACAGTGATATATGCACACCCATGTTTATAGCAGCACAGTTTGTAATTGCTAAAACTTGGAAATAGCCCATTTTCCCATTTGTTGGAAATTGAATAAAGAAGATGTGGTTTTTCTATAAAATGGAATACTACTCAGCCATAAAGAATGAGAAATTAGAGTCATTCATAGGAAAATGGATACACATTGAAGATATCCTCTTAAGTGAAATAAATAAGTCATACATGTGTAAATACCAAATAGTTTCTCTGGTGTGAAAAACTATAATAGTACACAAGATCCTAATGGGATAATTAATAGTGTGAAATAGGAAGAAAAGGGCTAAAGGTGTAGGGAAAGTGGGAAGGGTAGGGGAAAGGGAATAAGGGAAAAGAAAATAAGATGGGGAAATGAAAATGGAAATAAAGTGTTTGCAAATGGGGAGAGGAGGAGGGGGTGAAGGGAGGACATGGACAAGGGGAAAAAATGAGAACCAAGACCTGTCTGTATTGTATACCTAGATTGTACAGATAAACTCAATAAAAAGAAAAAAATATTCTAGTCATGCTGGAGCATTAGGGAACCATTTCTTGCCACACCTGTGTCTTTCCCACAAGCGAAGAACACACTTGTCCTCACTTTTTAGCAGATTGTTGTCTGTAGTGTTCCACTTTATAGAAGGACATTAACAGTTTAATATCCCTTATATTCAAGGGCCTAAACAATGTAAGCTTATTTTTAAGGAGTCCTCAGTCCAAGGGAATACATAAGACTATGAGCAGTCAATTAAAATAAAGTGGCATAGACTCTACCATGATTTAAATCCAGGCCTATGGAAGATATGGAAGGCTTTTTCTGGGTGAAGTCACTAATGCTGAAGGACAAGGGAGAAGGCAGAGGAGTAGCCTATCCAGAAGGATCAGCTAAGACCCCACAAACCATTCTCACTAGTGGGAATTACAGTAGACCCTCGAGTTACAACTGGCCTCACATAGGAACAACTTGGGTTAAGACCAGAATTTTAGTTTTAACTTGAGTTATGACTCAAGTGCTAGTCTTTGGTGTGTGAGGCCAAGATTTGAGAAATCTTGGCCAACATCTCTGTAAGGACACTGAGATCTGCCTGGAAGAAAGTGTGACCTAAAATTATGGAGGAAGGAGACTTAGGAGGCTATGTAGAGGAGCCTGAGCCTTCAATTGACCCTGTGCTTGATGACGCTGTCATTGCAGCAGAGTCCATAGGCTTGCGAATTGGTGCAGGAACACTCAGAGGAACTGTCTACAGAGAAACTTCAGCAACTTCTGGCTGAGCAACACAGAATGGCAGCGTAGGAGCTTTCTAAAGAGGAGAGGGAGTATCAACAATCAGTACAGCAAAGTTCTTCTAAAATAAAGGAAATCCTGAAAAAATGGACAGAGCTACAAATGTCTGTAGAGAAGACCCATCCAGACAGAAAATGCCAACCACTGAATTCACTTGCTTAGTAAGAATGCTATGTCATACCACAGAACAGAAAACAGGCAACGTTGCACCAGTTTTAGTTCTGAAAAGGTTGAGACCTAGTGAGCCAGAAGCAGGTCCTAGTGGGTTACAGACTCTCCCAAAAAGAAAGGTCACCAGAGAACCAGATTCCTGATGTTCTTATGGAAGGGGATTCTCCTACCAAACAGTAACCACCTTCTATTTAGTTCCTCTTCCTGCAAGCCAAAGATGTCAACTTGACTGGTTAGTACAGTATGAGATTATTTCTGGTAAACTAAAAAAAATTTTAACTTTTTAGTGAATAGACTAGGAAGATTATTGGTATTTCTGGTAAATTATGCACATTATACAAGCCATTTTTATTATGAAAAGGTCAGTTAAGGAGTACTTTGGGAGGTTTGGAATACATTATGGGTATTTCCATTATTTCTTATGGGGAAAATCATCTTGCCTTACAACCAACTTGAGTTACAATAAGCCCTCACGAAAAAATTGAATGTGTAAGTCAAAGGTCCCCCCAAATTTCCACACAAATGAAGAAAATTGAATAAGGAAAACATGACAATTAAAATTTTACCCTAAAATATTTTGGTAAAGTATTATTGTGAGGATAATAAGAAGCCATTGATAATTTTAGGTTAGATGGTGATATGATGAGGTATGGCCTCAAAATTATCATTGTGATAAGGGTGTTGGCTGAAAGTAGGTCAGAACCAAGGCAGGAAGAAAAACTAATGAATCATTTTTTTTCAGAAAGTACAAAATATTATTATTAATCATTAAAATAAATCCCCTAACTCTATGCTGCTCAACTCTGTCCAAAAGAATCTGATGGAAGAGATCTGATGTGCAGGTTTCTCTTTCTGCATGCCAACCCTGTCCTAATGGGGTTCAAAATCACCACTCTAGGAAGCCACAGATACAGGCTGCAGTATATACGTCTCTGGGACAAGAGTGAAGTCATTAATACAAATGTTGGGTCAAGCATCACAGTAACAATGCTTTTAACAGATATAGAATACTTTTAGTGATATTTAATTATCGAGTGCATCAAACCACAAACTAGGAAGTGCCACTATATTGCAATTAAAAGCAAAAGTTTTGGAGTCAAACAATTTGTTTTTAATCTATTCGTCACTTACTTGCAGTTGACAAATGGACAAGTTATTTATCTTTTTTGATGAATGTTACTCACATATGTAAAATGAAAATAATAGA